AACTTTTCACATTCACATAAATGGAGCTTAAAAATTTTCAAGACACCTACTTAAACATTATACAATGCACTAGGTGAAAGTCAAGCCCCACTGCCTGCAAGCAGCTGAGATTTCTACCACTGCTGTTTAGTGTTAGGCTGGCTAGTAGATAACTGAGAAATAAGAAGTGCACCAACAGCCTCCTCTGGCTGCTGAAAGGAAGGACCTCTCTGGCTGTGGGGACGGATTTGTGAAAAAACAAGAGTTTTTGGGGGGGTGGGTGGGGAATAACCCCTTTTCTTTTTCCTTTTGAACAGCTATTTCACTGAAGTATTTACATGAATATAATATTTGAGAGCTGTGGGTACTAAAAAAGTGTTGAGTTTTGTCTGAATATCAGCTGTAACTGTTCAAAAATGTTAAAAGGGAGATATTGAGAACATTAAGGTTCTTGTTATGCCTGTTTGTCTGGTTAGGAAATAATGAGAAAGTTGTCCAACTGTCTAGAAGCACAGAAGGAAAGGGGAATGGGTGGAGTTGTTAGTCATTTTAGGGGTGTGGCTAATGGTTAGAATAAACTCTCATTGGATGTTGAAGAGGGGAGTAGATGGAGCTGTGAATTTTTATGCAGGCTTGGTTTACTAGAATCTAGAAAGGTCAGGAAGGTGGGCAGAAGATCTGGCCACTTTTGTTTTATATATAAAGTTGTCAAGGTTATCTTATTGTTTCATGCTTCTGTGTTGAATTTACAAGGTGATGATTTCTCAGTCTAACTATAGTAAACATGAAAGCCAGTGATCAGTACTGCAAATTGGTTAATGTTTAGTGATTTGCCAAATGTTGGTGTATGAATTTATCTGAATTAGCATGGCTAAAGTTGAAAGAAATGGTAGGAGAAAAATTGAATGGACTAAAGTAATGAAAATCTAATTTGCAAGTAAAATGTATACACCATCAAGAGTTAGATGGATAACAAAGAGTTTTGCTCATCTGAAAGTGCAGGGAATTTTTTTTCATATATTTCAAGATCAATCGGGCTGTTGAATGAAACTTTTCTATTGAAAGTAGAAGAGCAGAAAATTGATGAGATTGTTCTGCAAGTGAGATCTCTTTATGCCATTGTCTTTAAAAACATAGCTGTGATCGTTTAAGCCCCTATCTTGGGTTTATCATCATCATCATTCAGGAACAGTCTGTGATGGTCTTTAGTACCTAAAATATAGCAAAGATCAATTTGTGATTATGCCTTAAACTGACAGGCAAAACTCGAACTTGATAAGAAATTTTCAGCCTTTGTTCATGCTAGCACAAACTGAACAATTAAAAAAAAATTAGTGGAGCACTTTGCCCTTGATACATTCTTCTAGACTAATGTAAACTATCCGGACCGTTACTAGAATAAGAAATAGGAAAAACAAAAGAAAGAACTAATAGACTCTACATTGACATTTGTTGGTGGAATGAGGAATAACTCAGTAATTGCTATATGCATCTATATAAGAAGAATACGTTGCTATTTAATGCTATCGATTCTTTATCTGACAAGAAACTTGTAGAATACTGTGTTTCAGTTCCTGAAGATGTCATCACAAATGTAGACTAGTATAATAAGGAGATCTTTGCTGTTTAACTCAAAGGATGTAAAGTTTGCAGTTGTCATAAACTTCGATGTTTGAGTGCTCAACTGAAGTCACTCGAGTGCTTTTGAAAATCCCGCCTTAACTTTCAAAAGCAATTGAAGGAAGTTTTAAAGGAACTTGGCAGTCTAAGGGTGCTATTTTTGCAGACTCATTGCTTGATTTAAACAGTAGGCCACATGCTGAAAAACACTTGCCAAACAGCAGAGTGAAATGGACCTGATCTTTGTCAGTTTTATTCTCAGGGCTCTGAATAGCAGCAGTCAAAACTGACAAAATTGGTCAGTTTTCATTTTGCTGAGTCTTGGAAAAACAGTGAGCAGCAATAAACCTATTGGAGCTCTGCAGGTTTAGTAAGACAACTTTCCAAATGTAAAGTGACGTAATATTATCTTCATAACTCTCAAGATGAGAAGCTTTAAATTCTTAAATGAAAACTCAGAATCTACAAAATAAATGGAAACTTTCCTTGGTGAATGTCTACTTGCTAAGGCTAAGTGCATTTTTTTCAAACTCTGGCCTATAAAAACGTCATTGCCTCTGTTTAACAGATGGAAAAACAGAGCAAAAAAAAAGAGTCTTGGTTGGAAGCACTGTAGTCTGGTGGCTTACTCAGAGGACTTGTAAGGGAAGGGTCAGACCTGGTTCCTAATTTTGGTTCTAGCAGTAGTTGCTATGACCTCAGGCAAGTCAGATAACCTCTGAGCCTTTGTTTTCCTGTCTGTGAAGTGGCAGTAGTATTTACACACTAAATAATGTTTTATGGTGCTATATAGGGGCAAGTATTACTGGTAAATGTGAAATGGAGCTTCTGGTTCCCAGCTCCATGCTAAATCCACTAGATCATTAGGCTTCAGAGGTGGCATCTTCAAAAATACAAATTTATTAAAGTAGCTCTTTGCTATTTTGCAAAGATTCTAAATTACAAAACATTTTTCTGAATATTTGTGAAATTACTACAATTTCATTGAAGTTTTACATTTTTAAAACATGCAAATTTCATGGAGGAAGGAAGTCCACAATTAATATTTTATCCACTTTACTTCTATCTGCATTTGTACTTTTTAGTTTGAGCACCAAATGCCATAAACATTAACTTTATTACATTTTGACCGTAAAATTGGATCTAGGTCCAGTCCACATCACTCTTGAGACTGTGATAGCAACATCTGTGTACAAGGTTTCTAGCCTGGTTTCCCTGACTGATGTGGATAGGGTTTTTTCCCTCCCAAATAACATCATTATAGAAGACTTAGAGAAGTCTATAATAGGGTTCTATAATACAATTATAAGGACAAAAATCTCTTCTAATTGGTCAGGGAAACATGCAGGAATGACTTCAGACCATAATATGGACACGGCCTTAATTGCAGAGCAGGAGTGATTAATGCTTTATTGCATTTTAATGCAGCTTAAAGTATACACATGCAGGGCTTACTTAAATTATTGTGTAGACTTACTAATCAGTTAAAATTTGATATAAAATGAAATTCTTTCTTGGATTTTGGTTCTCTATCCTGCCAGTTTTTCATGGTACCACACCTCAAACAGCATTATACTACTACCTGCATTTGTAGTTTAGATGACAATTCAGATGTTTCAAACTGCTGCGTTATTCCTTAACCATGGGGGGGGGGGGGGAAGAGGGTAAGGAAATTGTATCTTGTGGGGATGGGAAGAACCTGGAAAATGTATAGCTGGCTGCTGTTAAATTTGAAGTTATTTTAAAAGTTACTTAAGTAACTTTAAGTGATCTGTTGTATACCAAGTGATTGATTTAAACTTAATACTGCTCACTTTTGGGGAAAAAAACAGATTTCATTAGCATGTGTTAGAATAAAAACTTTCTAATCAGGAATAATGCAGATTTACTTTTGAGTATTTCTTCGGTGAAAATAGCTCGCCTATCTTTCTGCTATACTCACTGGAACAAGAGCACTTAAGATTCTGTGCTGCTGAGACTTGAATGTTAAAATAGATTATTACCTCATTATAACTCCTACTTGCATATCAGATTGAGAGAGATCAATTATCTTCTCTCCAGAGTGGGTTGTCTAGCAGCTTGTCCATGTAGTTATGCAGACAGGTATCCCCTTGTGAGATTTGCATAAAATCAACGTATGAGGGAGATCCAGCCATCTCTTTTTAATGTAGCACATTGGATTTTTAGACAAAATAGTGGTCCCAGAACATGCTGAATAAGTGACTCACGCCCTCCCCCCATCTGATTTTGCAGATTGAACACTATAGTTCTACATATTTCTGTAAGCAAACATTGTTTTTTGAGCACCTAAATTTGATTAAAACTAGCAATTGGGAGACTGTGAAATCCTCTGCCATTATATTATTAGGAACAACTGATCAAAAAGTTTGATATGCAAAACAAGTTATTTGTGCAAAATTTTATATGTAGCATTGCTTGTTACTTGAAAACTGGCAACTTTGGGGATTAATATGGTAGTATAGTGTTTTGGGTTTTGTTTTTTTTTAAATACACTAAGTGTTTGGGGCTTCTTGTTTTACAAGGGTATACGTTAGTTATTAAACTAATGAGTTCAAATTAGGATTTTTATACTGTATCTTAGATCTAATAGTTTTAGAGTTAACATTTTTTTCTTCTTCAGAGAAGTCGGAGGCTTTGTCTACACTACCATTTATGCCAACAAATTTTATGTTTCTTGGGTGTGGGGAAAAAAACACACTTCTGAGCAACATAAGTTTCGCCAGCATAAGTGCTAGTGTGCACAGTGCTATGTCGGTGGGAGAACTTCTCCCACCAACATAGCTACCGCCGCTCATTGGGGTGGTTTTATTATGTGGATGGGAAAGTGGCTTTAAGTGGTGTAGCTGCATCGGTACAGCTGTGCTGCTGTAAGCTCGCTAGTGTAGACGTAGCCTAAATGCATTCACAGTTTAAAAATGCTAATATGTGTAAAAGGACACTTAGAAAAAGTGAACTGGACTGTTTGGTTATCTGACTTGTACTTGGCTATTGTGTGTTAAAAAGCTGCTTATGAGCACTGGAGCACACTTTTTATTAAAAAAAAAAACATTGAATATTTTAATGGGGAGGCAGAGTAAAAATATATATGGTATTTTAAAGTTTATGCCACTATATGAGGGGTTGTGATGGGAAAAGGTACCTTAAAATTTTAGAATGTTTTTTGTGTTGTTTAACACTGTACCAGTAGACTAATTCAATTGATCTAATTGTTAGCATATTCCCCACATTTGGGAGGTGTATGAATTTTTGAATCCATAAATATTGTGTGTGGATGGGGGAGAAGGGGACAGGAGGTGTTTTTGTTGTTGTATATGGCTGTGTGCTACATATAGAGATAATTGGCAGTTAGAGATGTGAGATTTTGACTTGTTAGGTGATCTGGCCAAGAGGACGCACCGCGTAAGGGTAAGGAGAAGAATGAAGAGAAGGTCATCAGCTTGGGACCGCAAGTTGCCGAAGGGGAAAACGTGTTTGACGTCTGCCATATCTTCGCTTCCTTCAATGACGCTTTTGTCCATGTAACTGATCTCTCTGCCAAGGAAACCATCTGCCGAGTGACTGGTGGTATTCAGGTGAAGGCTGACAGACGAGTCTTCGCCCTATGTTACTATGTTGGCAGCCCAGGATGTTGTCCAGCGGTGCAAGGAGCTGTGCATCACAGCCCTTCACATGAAGCTGCGAGCTCCAGGTGGAGATAGGACCAAGACTCCAGGACCTGGTACCCAGTCAGCCCTCGGAGCTCTCGCTCATTCTGAAATGAAGATTGGGAGCATTGAGGATATCACCCCCATCTCCTCTGACAGCAGTCGCAGAAAGGGTGGTCACCCGGGTCGTCATCTGTAAACCGTGGCTGGCTTTTGTTTCATCATTAAATCAAAGAAAAAAAAAGGGTGGTGGTGGGGGGGTTGGACCTTAGCAGTGATGTTTGCTAAGGAAGACAGTCTCCTAGACCAAGGAATAACCTAAATTTGTAATAGTGTGATGTTGCTAGGAAAGCTTTTATTGCCACATGTTTGAGATTAATACTTTAAATGGTGCAGAGCCACAAGGGTATTATTCGAATCTTCTGAAACTCGTGATAGTAAACATTATACCATTCATTCTGCATCACATTTTGTCCCACTTAAGTTTTTTTAGTTTCCAAATTTTCTGCTTCATTAATCAAGCTAGTTACTAAGATTCCAGTATTCTTCCAATGGGTTTATTTTAATGATATCCACAAGAACAGTATAAAGTAAATCTGTATTATAAATACAAAAGCTTACATTGTTACAGTTCTTAGTCGTTGACTCTAGCTATGAGAGTTGCCAAACAAATCCTGTAAAATTGGTTTAAATTTATAAAGTATCTTGAGAGACTTTGCTTCCAAATCTGTTATTACTAGAATCAGTGGTTAAAAATCCTGTTGAGTTGAATGGCTGTAATATTAAGTCTATCAGGAGTTAATGTTGCCGATCGTGATTATATGTTGTATGTTTCTATGTGTAATTTGTTAAAACTGTGATACGCCTTAGCATTTAGGCATTAAATCGATTAAACTTCCTTGGATTTTTTTCTGAAGGAATAGTCTTACTTCTAACTCTGATATATATGGTACAAAAATTCCTAGAAAACTAGACTGGACAAACATTGCTATGGAATTAATCTGTAACATTAAAGAACAGCACTAAACCTCAAATGATTTTTGGTAGTATGTGCAGATTGAAATTATTTCTAGCTTTGACCTTCATGTTCATTGTTCAGAACAGCAGACGGTGATGTTTTTGGATGGGCTGTAGACTGCGTACTATACTGCCCATCATAAACTGAGGCAAATTAATTCTTCCAATTAGCTTTAAAATATTTTTCTTAAATTCAAACCAAAAATCTTAGGATGGCATTATAGAAAGCTAGGTAAACAGTGCTGCTGTACCTTAAATTGCTGAATCTGCAGTCTCTTTAGTCAGATGGGGACTTGAAGGGATAGCATCAAATTGAAAACTACTCAGTTTCAGAAGTGAAGGGAAAAGTAGTTTCAGGTACTACATTTATTGTGGGCCCTTCTGCCAATTTTTGTAGTTGTACAATCACATTTTCATGTCTTTGAAATGTTTTTCTCTTCTATTGCCCTGTCAAAACCCACCAAAGTTGTGAAGCTATATAGGGCAATCAGTGAAAAGAGCTATACATAAAGTGCTTTCAATTTTACAAAGAAAAAACAAGCAGATTTTTCTGCAATCTTTTATAGTAATCTTAGATGTTACTTGTAATGATGTTGTAAAATAATATTAGGAAACTATTTGAACTGTCTGAATGCGACTTAACTAGAAACAAGGAGAGCCAGCACTACGTGACCAGCCAAAATGGTCTGTGGACCATATTTTGAGAAATGCTGATTTACTGCATATTTTTATTTCGGCACTGGATATCAGATGCAGTTATGTTTGTATAATTGTTTACACACAGCACAAATACTCGGTTTTTTTAAACAGTGTACATGTTATGGATTATAGATAATTTGTGAAATCAAAGTTGTTTATAGTTTAATATTGAGTAAAGATAAAAACTATAGATAGCATTTGGGGGGGGAGTATGAGTTAATTCTTAAGAACTGGAAGAGTTCAGTGAATGTAAATGCATGTGAACAAAGTACAGAAATTCTGGAAACTCTGAGGGTATACATTTTTAAAATTGTTGAAGTTAATATAGGGAACAGTCTTCAGGGTGATTAAAAATAACATGAAATGCAATCTATATTTAAAATAATAGAATGCCTGACTTTTTATTTATAAAAACAAAACCAAAAAACTTTCAAGCTGAGAAATTGTCTTCTCTGGGACTGGAGGCAATCCCTGTTACTGGTGGCTATTTAAAAGTTGTTTGCATCTGATCCAGTGAGCCAGATTTAAATTGCATGGATTAAAATGGCATACGTATCAAAAAATAATCTGTTTACTGCTATTACAGTAGCATAACTAAGGCTGGGTATACTTTAGAATTTTTTTTCCTAAAATTTTCCCCTATTGGTGTAACTGATTCAAATCTATCATTGGTAGCAACATCATTGAGTATTAGCGTAGGCAGGGTTCCAGGTGGCTGTAAGGATTTTAAACACTGTCATGTAACCCTGCCTAGACACAGTGATGATAGTATAGGTGATCACTGGTGCTTTGTCTATCCTAGCACTGCTGCTGTGAAGCTGCACTGATAGTAGCAAATGTAGGAATTCTAAGGAAAAAAATCCTACTGTAGACAAGGCTGAAGTCTTCTGCATTCATAATTTAAAATGTATGTAAACTACTGTGCTCGGGGTCCCGTGTTCAAGTTTATAAAAACATTAACATGTGGAAACTCTGTTTTCCATGCTGAAGGCAATGAGGTGATCATTGGAAATCCCAGTTAAATAACTTTTCCTTCACATATTCATAAAAAGGGCTTCAAGAGAAGTATGGTTTTAGCTTCCATGCCTTCATTATGTTGGGGAAAAAAGGGTTTAAAAAAAAAAAAAGTACCAAAGCGAAGACTAATCTATTTCTTAAACAATCTGTAAAGCAGCTGAGACTTTTTTTCTTTAATCAGATTCTGGGCTTTCTTTGTAACTGCTTCTATTTAAGCTTTACGTACGTTTCCCGTCACATAACCCTTAATCTTGGGTTAAAGATTTTTTGATCCTCCTTTTTCATATGATTGTGTCCACCCCAACCCCTCTTAATAATTGAGCGCTAAAATAATTTAGAATAAAGTGGAAACATCTTTACTATGAGCAGGTGCTTGTGGATGCTGCTTGAATTAACCTACAGGTTTGCTTTGAAACTGTATTTTGTACATCTGTGATAAACTGCATCTATAGCCTGGATGCTCTGAATAAATATGTGCTTAGGTGCTTTCCTGAATTGAGGCCCGTGTGATTTAAGAGAGAGAACTAGAAGTGCATTGGTTTTTAATTTTTTTTCCCATTCAGTATTTTTATAGACCCAGTTTGTTTTTAATGTATATGTTTTCTCTCTTATGTTAGTTTTGAATTCAGGTACAAAGTTTATACTTTTCTTACAACTAAATCCACTTATTTGAGACTCTTCCTCTTTGTTTCAGATAATATCCCAGAAGAGCTGAAGGACCCATTTTACATAGACCAGTATGAGCAAGAACATATTAAACCACCTGTCATCAAGCTGTTGCTGTCCAGTGAGCTATATTGTCGTGTCTGTAGCCTCATTCTAAAAGGGGATCAGGTGGCTGCTCTGCAGGGACACCAGTCAGTGATTCAGGCTCTATCTCGGAAAGGGATTTACGTCATGGAGAGTGATGATACCCCTGTGTCTGAATCTGATCTCGCCTGTGCACCAATCAAAATGGTTAGCTTAAAGTTCAGAGATGGATTTAATCATTAAATCTCACCCTTGACTTTGGGGATAGACAATGGAGTAAAGCACATTTCACCTCTAGGTGGCTGGTCTCAGCAGTTTTTCATGCAAATATATTGTAAATACAGTTAATATGTAAAGGTGTTTATTTCTTGATGTATGTTTGACTGCAAATACTTTTTGGTTTGCTCCTTAGAGTTCTCATATGGCAATGATTGATGCTCTAATGATGGCATACACTGTAGAAATGATCAGCATTGAAAAGGTGGTTGCTAGTGTCAAACGTTTTTCTACGTTCAGTGCCTCAAAAGAACTACCCTATGATCTGGAAGATGCAATGGTTTTCTGGATTAATAAGGTAAAGCTGATATTTAGAAAGGTTTGCTTCTAGAAAATTGTAACTTCTAAAACTGTTTGTTAAAAAGGGCTCGATTAGTGCTTTCTCCATGTTTTGTTAGGCTTCCATTGCTGGAAATGCCCTCTTCTGGTATGGAAGAAAACTATTTTTAATTATTTTAGAATGTCTTGGCTCTGCACAGTGACAGTGAGCTAACCACCTGTATTCCTAGAGTTATACGGATAGTAGTTATTGCTTCCTTTTTGTGCACCTGCAGCTTTTTTAGATTTCTTCCTTGTTGGCTTCCTCATCCCCCTCCAAATGCAAATCAATATTTGCCAAGAGGAAAGGGACAAGACTAGTAGGGGAAATGCATTTCCTTTTTTTTTTTTTTTTTAATGGCACAATGGTAGATTTTGTTACCTTTTCAATATAAATTTAAAATTCACAGGATGTTTACTAATCAAATTAGAAAATAGTGCAGTTGATCTGTTTCCGCCTAAGCTACTCGACAACTCTTTCAGGCACACTGTGGAAAAATATATATTTTTTAAACATTTGTGTTTTAAAATTGTAAATGGAAGTTGAACCAATATTTATTATCAGGTTAGAATCTGCCAAATAGGAGTTGGAAATAAAATTGATTGTAGATACTAACATACCAGATGATTTTTAGTAGTGGAAACTGTTGCTATTAAAAATACTGCTAATGATGCAATTTTTAAAAGTGTTCGGAGAGAGGGGTTTGGAAGAGATGGCCTATGTTTGTTTAATTTTTAAATCTGGAAGTAGTATATGCAACTTAAAAATAAAAATCGCTTTTCTAAAGGGAATCAGGTAACTTTGTGAAGTTATATTTGTTTGGTAGATGAGGAAAGCATATGGTTTCATGTTCACTAGCCAGTTAGATTTGATTTTGAATATATTCTACTTCAACCACTTATGAAACTTTTCAGAGGCTATCAGTTTAGAGTTTATGCGTGAAACCCTTGAGTAGTAGTTTCCTTTACATTCCACACTTCTTCCTCCCACAGATTTTAGTGCAGTACTATAAATCTTGTATTGGATAAAAAGTTAATAGTAAATCTGGCTCTCAGTGTATTTTTTTTAATAAAAACAAATTTTCAAGAAATCAGGAAGCTGGTCTACATAACTGTTAAAGCAAAATTACTTCTCAGATGTTTTTATTTGCGCAAAACTTTTATTGAAAAGTAACTTCTCGGGTTATTAATCTGCAACTTGTTCTAATAACCTTTGCATTCTGTCAGAATTGTGCTCTATTGCCAATGGGTAAGAAGTTCAGCTATATAGAGGAATGGGAAGAGACTATTTAAGAGATTTGGGAACAATTCATTGCACTTACTGACCCCTGCTTTTGTTCTTGAACAACTTGTCTGTCTGTGGCTGCACTGAAACTATTTACAGAGAGTCAGTTTCTACAGTGTCAATTTTATAGTACAGGCAACCCCAACACAACTAGAGGAGAATAGTCTCCTTTGTTGTGTAATAGTGGTATACACAATGAAAGATGAAAGTTAATTGAATTATTATAGTTTATATTGTAGAAACATACCTGCCTCTCTCAGGAGAACTAAGAATGTAAATTTACACTTACGTTTTCATTTCTAAGGATTTATTTTAAATACATTTGAACATTTTTTGGAAGAAATTACTATGTTATGGCTATATTACTAATTAAGCAATTGTATTTGCAAAGCGGTACCTTATGTCGCTGCAAAACTTACCTATATCAGTGGAATGTCAGTTGAATTCAGAAGCAGAGTTTAAAAAAACCCAAAATCATGGGTAGTATGAGTCATATTTCTACAATGGTGGGAAATAAAGATTGATCATTATGTTAAGTGATGACTTCTGGAAAT